TTTTATACCTTCAATTTACATCTCCTTTTACTCAGCTCTACATGTTGGTCCTTCAACCTCATACCTATCCCTTCTTCTTTCCTCTTCTTTCCTTTTTCTTTCGATACATATTCCCATGTATTCCAACATTCGTCTGTCCCCCCGGCGTGAAACCGTTCCGAGCAACATCTCGGCTCTCCAAGTTCACCCTTTCTCCATCTTTTCGTTCGAAGACTATGTTCCCCCTCTTCGATCACTTTTCTTTCTCAGTCCGATGCACTCGTCTTAGCCAAGGATTCAAGCACGTAGTACGCGCTCGTCCAAGGTGGAAGACAGTAGAGACGACAGGTGTGATACACACAGGAAGAAATACAGATCTGCGCGCGCTGTCAGAAGATACCGAAGGGAGAAAAAAAAAAAAACAGAGAGAAAAAACGAGACGTAGACAGCGAGAGAAAACGAGAAGAGCGGAAAGTCGAAGTAGCTCGCAGCGTTTATATTTGGGAAGGATTTACTCGGAATTTGGAATTTACTCGATCACAGTTTTTAATCGAGGTAGTTAAGTTTAGTGTCTCTCGAATATCTATCCTTACACAAACGCCATAATCAATCTCATTGCTAGAATATTAGCTTGTCGCACTTAGAGAAAATGAACATTTAACCGAGGGAAGGCATGATACAGGGAATAACTGAAACAAACGAGCAAGCACGATAATGCGCCAAATAATACAGCTTTCGTTCAGAGAAAGAAATTTTTTTTTTTTCCAAAAGTTTTAGAACTGTCGTTGAAATTCCCTTGCCATCTCGTTTCTTTCTGTCACACGGCACGCCGGCGTGCCTCGATATTTCAGAAGATACACGTAAAAAAAAAAGTGTCTTCCTTTCTATTTTAATTTTTTCGAATTTTACTCGTTTCCCCATATTGGTACCGTGATCGTTGGAAAAGTCCTGAACCTCTAGATCGATGTAGTCCAATGATTAACACAATCCGTCGAATAATTAAATTCGATCAGTTGAAAGTCAATTTGTGATAAAAATCGTTCGCAAGTTGCACTCGTCTAAATCTCACTTACTGAGCGATTTACACCACGACCGGGAAACCGGTCGTCGTGTTAAGGCGATGATCCGTAAGAGGGTAACGAGGAACCGAAGGGTCGTTCACCTAAAGGAAAACAAACTCATCCTTCATTTGTTTCTTTCGATCTATTTTCACGTATACGGATGATCTTTACAATAGCCTACGTATCGTTCCTTGTTGCTCCTCGATTTTCACATGGAGGCGTAAATCATTTAGTCACTCTGATCATTTCTTCCAATGTTTCTTGCTTGCAGATCGCACCGGAAGAAGAAGCGTTAGAAATATGTCCACGGAATTGTTTCACGCAGCTTTGACGACAGTTGTGTTCTGGACATGTTTAAGTTTCAGCATGGGCGCAGAACGTCCGCTTTCAGAAACCGCTACAACCGTATTACTGCCTATGAAACATTCCAAATCTAGGTCAGTATCTCGTTTTCATGTGTGAATCATGCTCGAACCTATTTGAACGAGAGACCTATTTGAGGGAGAGCAACGACAATGTAATGTTAACACATGTATCGTCGATTTGCCAAACAGCGAGCGCAAATGTTGCGAGATCGTTAGTAGACAGAAAACGCCGAGAAATTGAGAAACTGAGGGTTAAAAGATTACACGTACTGTAAGAGAGAAATTCTCAATTGGCTTTAACAATTGACGTTGTAAAATATGTATCGCGAAATATAAATCACAAACTGACCAAACGATAGATTTCTATGTCTTCTTTTTCTCTTTTCTGACGGTCATGTGTTCAGTTCTTACGGAAAAGATTTCCATTCAAATAACACTTTTTAATCGCCTTGGCGTAATTTTGTAGCGTTGTACTTGAATAAAATCAAACAAAAGATTCTTGCGACCGAGTGTATACACATGTCAAATTAAAATTGTAATTTTGCGATACGGTAAGACTAATTACCAAACTAATCACGCGTTCTTTAGATCAATCAAATAAACTTCGTCTTCATTGTGAGGAAATATCGTTCACTTTTAAACAATGCTAAATCGAGTAAATATTGAATAGAAAGTAGACCTCTGCATTTCAACTATAAAAAAGATATGTACCAAGCGTACAATAATGAGAAGTCGAGTTCATTGGCATGCACAGCTGTCTGCCGAACGGTCTGCCAGTGGTCTGGTATAACACGTAACGTTCCCGTGTGAAAAAGATTAATGTGCCAGTGGGTTAACTCGTTTCACGATCATAGTTGGCAGAGGTTGCACGTATTTGTAATTTCTTTTAGGTCGGCTACGTATCAGGCGATACGGGGCATCGGAGAACCGAAGGATGCGAGAAGCGAGGCTGTTCGCGCAACACAGGAGAACAACAGGTCACCTAGCCCGGTCGGCGTTAATTTTTATCGATTACCACCGTCGCCGGCGAATCTGTTGAAGCCAGATGGATTTCAATTTTACACGTACAACGAGAGAGGCGACATGATCACGAAACAAATGACCATGCAAGAGATTCAAGCCTTGATCGCGAGTGGAGGTCCCGATCATTCTAACGTGGAGGTTCAAGAGCCGCAAAAGGCCGAGGATATCCTTACAGGTGGAAAAAAGGTTGGTGAATCAAGGTCGATTTTTTTTTACAATTAGCTAAACTGAATTGTAGGAATCACGGTAGAACGTCTAGAGGAGGAATTAGTGGAAAATTTCGATTACCGAGTGAACGACAATCGTGGTGAGACTTCGAAATTTATTCCAGGTAATGGACGTCGTGGAGAAGGTGCAAAACGTGCTGAAAAGTGCCATGGACAAACCGTTGTCGGCACTCTCATCCGGTTCACACCCGATGATACCGGAAAAAGTAAACGTCGAGTGGAGCAATATTTTGCCAGCGATATTGGCCGGCGATAAATACGGGAACAAGGTCGAAGAAAGCCATCACGTCGAGAAACCAACGTCGAAACCTACGTCCACGCACTACGTCGCGCATAATCAGAACGATTCGACACCCGATTCGCTCGAGTCCAACGTAAGTGAAACCGTACCGTTGGAAGTACTTGGGAACGTTAAAGTCGAAAAGAACGGGACGCAGCCGACGATCGCTGCGAAACCAACGACTGTCTCTTACACGGAAAAATTAATGATACCGGTGCCTGTCATCACGACCGAACGAAATGCCGAATCGACAGGCAACAGTCAGTACACCACGCAGAGTTCCACCTTTCACAAGCTGACTGAGGCAACGCCGTCGTTAGAAAATACGACTTACGGGTCTTACGATCGCGACGACGAGAACTTGACGTCTGCAAACGTCCTTACAAAATCAACAACGACCAGCGTCTCTCTCGCGTCAACCTTACAATTTACAGACGAATCCACGAAAAGCAGTTACGATAACGCTGGTCTTGTAAGCGAAACGTTACACTCGGAGAAGAATAATTCACACGTCGATGAGACTGTTGCCGATTCGTTGGTAACGCAAACGAAGATAAAGCCAGTAACTGGCACTTCGACAGAAGACGATGACGTTCTATTGAAAACGCAGACATCGTCCGTGTCAGAAGCGAATCAAGTCAATGCAGTTCAAACAATGGTAACTAACGAACCGTCTAGCAAGTTGCCATCACAGTCTTCCGTATCGTTTACCAAATTGCCACCACAATCCTCTACGTCTGTTACCAAATCACCATCGAGTGTTCCTGCAACTACGAACAAGTATAAAGTCACATCAGTGACGGAACAGTCGACGACGACACAGCAAGATACAATAAAAAAGCCAAGTGATTACTTAAGTGGGTCAGTTGAACCTTCGAAATCGTCTCCATCTATGGAGCTGGTGAGCTCTTTGTCAAACGTGATCAGTCAAATTTCCGACGACACAGTTTCCCCCGTGTTATCCTCCTCTTTTGGATTTCAGTCGATTTCTAGCGACGACGAGAATAAACGTAATAACGGCTCGGTGACAATCGCGACGTATTCTCCGACGATCAACGAAGACCGACCAGAAAATGTAAATGTCACGTCTGATGAAGAACGTGTTCAAGAATCATTCACCGAGACGACGGTGAAGTTTAAAACGGACAAAGAGAGGATTTCTTCCACTGCAACAACAACCACTCCGATTATTTCGACGAGTGTGACAGAGCTCGACAAAGTCAGCAATCAAAATTCGGCTGTATCTAATGTAACGATGAATATTAACGAGACATCGGCTACCACGTCCGAATCTTTACAACCGATAGCGCTTATCGAGAGTATACTTCACACTGCCTCGCCTGAAATAAACACACCTGTTACCGAATCGATCACTTTACCGAGCGACCTGTCGGAGAATCTCTTGGCTAACACTTTGGCAAGCTCACTCATCGCCAATCCGTCCAATTTGAAAACAAATAAAATACAAACTGCACTCGACGAAACAACAACGTCGTACTCCGAGAAGCTCGACTCAACGAACACTGTTGCCTTTACGTTAAATTCAAAGTTACCCATTTCAATTGGCAAGGATGATACGAAGAAAGGTCGTCCGACGAACGAGAATGAAATTTCTCGAACGTCGACAACGAAGGAGGATCTGTTCACCGTACAGCAGGAAATTGAACCTTCGCAATTACCAAACGAACTATCCGTCACTTCAGAATCTACGACATTGCCATCTTTCACTACCGATCCTGTTCTAAAGAATACCGTCACAGATGGAGTGTCTTTCGGTACTTCGTTCGCGAATAATATACTTAACGAACAGACATCTAATCCTACTTACGAGACGACAATATCGAGCAACGAAGCTTCGACGAATACGAGCACAAGAATCATCGTTCCAAATGTTGGAAATGTCACTGAAGTGGCATCGCAGAACAGTGATAAGACTTCTACAGTCTCCCTGGCCGAGACGACAGAAATATCGTCGTCAGGAAACCATCGTGATAAACCATCTTCATATCATACCGTAATAGACAAATTATCGACGACCTGGAGCGAATTTAGTACTGCTGCCGCGAGTTTATCTAACGCAGAGGAGCATCCAGTGCAGAATACGACGGATGAAACTGCACTGCAGAGACCCTTGAAGAAAACCGAGGAGCAGTCGAGGAATGATACAGTTCACACAACCGTTCAACACAAAATCAACGTTGTGAGTAGCACAACCGCGACGTCTCTCGACGATACGAAATCTTTCGTTGCCTCGACTACTCCTGAGCCGATAATCGCCGCTCTAAATTCCACCACGAAAGAGCCGGACGAAATCAATGGTACCACGAGTGCAACGAGCTCTGACGAGATGAATTCGACGGACTACAAAACGGAGAAACCCGTCCAGCCCCATTTACACGCGAGTAACTCGACAGGAATGGAGTTGTTACAGCTCGTAGATAAATCACAGAGCAACGAGTCGAAATTGAATGATTCGGCAAGCAGCTCGATTCTGCAGAGTAAAACGAATGACACGCACGCGAATTCTGAGCACACGTGGCAGCGAATATCGTTGCATCAAATAACACCGTCGTTGTCAACGGAATTCACCACGAGGACCACCACACCAATGATGTATACGTCGACATCAGCGTCGACTTTGGTAAACACGAGCTCGACGAAACTTCCGTCGAACGGCCAGTCAATTGCTACAAACGTGACGGAATCGACAGTTTCCTTAGACGCCTCGAAAAGCATCGGTGGATTGGACACCAGCACGAGAAACGCGAGCGCCGACATCGTTAATTTCTCGAGGCTTTGCAACGAGCTGGCGATCAAATTTTGGATCGCGGCGAACAACGGGCTGAGCATCGGCAGATCGTTCGCCCTCTCGCCGTTCGGCATGACCAGTCTGTTGGCGATGATCTTCCTCGGTGCTCGAGGCTCGACGTCCGATCAGATGAACGAGATACTCGGACTCGACAACGTAGCCACTTTCAATCCGCATCTTATCTTCCAGAACGTGACGGACACGGTGAGCCTGGCGAGGCATCAAGGTATCGCGAACGCGGCCTTCGTTCGCGAATTATTCGCGGACAAGGCCAAGGTGAGGAAACTGTTGCCGTTTTACAAGGAACAGGCGCAACAGTTCTACGAGGGATTGGTGGCCGAAGTGAACTTCGCCACTATCAGCGACCTTGCCCGTCGACGAACCAACCTTCTGATCAGAAAGCAGACCGGAGGCAGGATAAAAGACTTCGTGAAGAGCAATATCGTCCCTCTGAGGTCACCGCTGGCTGCCATCTCGGCGAACGTGTTTCAAACGGACTGCAACACGAGTTCCGCGAGTGCAACCGGCCGGGACGGCGAGTTATACTTCGCCGTGTCGGCTGCTCATAGATTGAGGAAATTGATCCCTGTTCCAGCCACCGTTTGGCGATCGAATGTCCTCGCTGGTTACGAGCCCAGTTTGGACGCGACTGCCACCGCTATTGGAAGCGCGGACAAGCTCGTTTCGACGATATTCTTGGTACCTGGTCAACAGGGCCACGCTGCACCCGGCGACACTTTGGACCGTCTCGAGCAGAGGCTTGTTAAAGGAGCTTTCCAAGACACCACTTGGGATAAACTTTTGAAGGTTCTCATACCTAGGCCGGGCCTTGAACTGCAAATACCCAAATTTAGTCATCGGTCCATCGTGAACGCTACTGCCGCTTTGAAAAGAATGGGACTGGATCAATTGTTCTCAACTCAGGCCGACTTCAAAGGGATCAATGGAATTGGAAATCGTCTCTTCTTGTCCGACGTTTTACAGGTAATTCATTAATTAGCCAAATATGATTTTCTAAAAAAAAAAAAAAAAAAAAACAATAGAGCTTCTATTAATCGTGAGGCTGATCAAATTTTTTTGAGCTGTAAATTTCAGTCACTGATATTATTACTATCCTTCAGAAGTGTCTTTATCATATTATTGCTCACATGCTTTAGTTGTTTTATCGTATAAATGAATTTATTATAGTATTACATCTTGTGTATAATTTCAAATATCGATCCGACCGGATTATTTCTCCACTTTTCACTTACAACACGCATTCTACTCATGTTGGTCATTTCTAGATGAACTTGTTCAGCACGTGCGGCGATGAAAACATTGCCAATGGACGACACCACGTGGAGATTTATCCGGCGAGTGCCTCTTTGAGAAACTCTCGACACGTCGAGGAGCAAACATCCCGCAGAATAAGACGGACCGCCGATACAAAGTCGGAGAACTATCGTACAGTCTCGCTGAAGGAGAGAATACGAAATGTAGAGAGATCAGAGGAGAAGCCCAGATTGAGATTGGACCAGCCATTCCTTTATTTCGTACGGCACAATCCAACTGGTCTTATACTTCATATAGGCCGTTTCAATCCTAGGTTAATATAAATTTAGAATGTAATGTTAGGTCCGTCTTTACTATACGTACTAATACTTGTATGTACTTAATCTCGCGTATTTTGTTTTATACACATAATCCGATTTTTTCGCGCGAGCGACACTTATTACCGTTAATCCTTTAACAGCGCATCTATAGAATAGGGCAAGATTATTTGAATCAAGCTACGTAATTTGTCTTGAAATTCAACAGCACTTAGACAATACTTTTTATACAATTTTTCGTTCTTTCGTCATTATATAAAATCGATGTCTCATAAACGTCCGTATTGATTATTATATAAATTGAATTTTGATAAATTGATCATTTGATACAAGATTGATTTTTAAAACATTGAAGCTTAAGTGACTCGATTGTCTCTATTTCGTTATATCAGAAACAGACTAAAGGATACAGAGATAATGATTTTCTAAATCGTTCCTCGTCATTTTATTACACTGTTAAAGGGTTAATTCGGAAATCTTATCGATTACCTTGACTTTTTAATCGATATTGTCGATCCATAGTCTATTAATTACGGGGGCTTTAATATCGCAGGATTGGTAATAACAGTAAGAAACAAGAACTTTTTATATATAATATTAGGCGTTTTAATTAGCTAGCATGAGTATTTAACATCATGCTCTGCTTGAAATGTTGGTAGCTCGTTATTAGTTTAGTGTTTCCTTTTTACTTATGATACATTCAATCGACTGATTTAGGGCGGCAAGAATTTCAATATGTATCTATAAGCGACTAATGTTATAATTTTTGTTGCTTACAGTATTTACTATAGGTATGTAGGATGATTTCGAAATCGTGGTACTAATATTGAATTTAGATATTGAATAATTTTATTGATATTAACATAAATTATTAAATTACAAAATATTATAATGTATAATATCATAATATTGTAAAACAATCAATATAAATTATCGACCAATCATTCAAATTGGTTGAATTAGTAATAAATACACAGACTTACTTTTACATAAGAAATTTTGTATATATTGTCTCTTTTATGGATGTAACATGATTTTAGAATCATCCTGTATACTTATAATTAATACAATATTGTACGATGACGTTTTAAGTAACATATGAGTAGAATCATAAATGCTCATGTATTATATATGAAGTAGTATCACCATTGCTCATATTTGTTACCACCACAGTATATCCAAAATGCAATTTAACCAGATTTTAATCATTCTCTTCTTGGAAGATCCTTGCAAAAACTTTATTGCCACAGTATGTTTGTCAAGCTACATTCGTTGCATATAATTTAAATCTGATTTGAAAAACTCCTTCACGATGCATTGTTAATATTATTGTAACACATACACATTATGTATATATAATGTATTCTTAAATTTTTATTGCATTTAATATTTAAACTCCCCTGCCTTCTTTGGGTCACTTTTGACTGAATTCTAGATTTTTGTAATTTAAAAAAAATACACGATGTCCCTGCGAGATCCCTTGTCGTCCCACGGTGCCCCAATTTTACTTATCAACTAATTACTTTAGATCTAAACTGAA